GGTGTGACAACAAGTTCGGTTGCTGTATTCTCGTTTTTGTAACATTTTCATGTTGTCAAGACGGCCTAGAAAAGCTCCGATTGTCTGGCGTCTTCTGCCAGAATAGTCATGGCAACTGACAGCGTGGGACGCCAGACTTGTAGCACTCTCCAACGTCATCCCGACAGAGTAGTCGGCGTCTTCAGTGAGGCCTCGTCGAAGAGGCAAATGAAGTCGTTGCCTTGATCAACTTCCCGCCAAACATAGATCTGATTGTAGTAGTCTTCTTTCGAGACATAACAATAGCTTGACCCCGTTTTCGCAACTTGGTCTTGTTGTCAGGGCGACTCATTGTCGGACCATGGCCTTGCCACATTTTTAACGTTTCGCCTGCATCGTCAGTGAAAGGTGTAACTTGGTGCTGAGACAAAGTTGCGAGAAAGCGGCATAATATGTGTGCTATCGTCTCCTTTTGTCCTGCTATATCCGGCAATTTTTAATCTTTGCATCCCACACCCTCTTTATTTTGCTATTTCTAGCCTGTTTGCTCTGACCTACTTCACAGGTTGACTGAATCACCGAAGTCTTCATACACAAAGCTTTGCTTCCTGGGCTATACCAGAAAGGTACGATTGCCCAAATGCTATTGGCCAACCGAGCACAGTTGACAGCATGCTTCTCAGGTTTGTCGATATTTGAAGCAGTCTTTCGTGCCGAGACAAAATCTCACATTCAGCGTTTTCCCATCTTCTATCTGAGAATACTTTCAGTTCGTATGAAAGAGCAAGAAGAAGTGATTCGTAGGTGGATCTCGTCAAAAGAAGACGTCTGATTCCAGTTCTACAGCGTCCTTTTGGCTAAAACACGACCTTCGTGTTGCACCTCCCTCGTTTCGGTGCAAAATAGGCGGAGGGATTTCGAAACCCGACTTACAAGCTTACACCTACCTCACTATCTCATTCAGAGATGCTACGGACTTACGCAGTCTCTCTATGCCTTGAAGACACGAAACCGACAGTAAACTTTTATAGTCACACGATTTAGGGTCGGTATTGTGAAGAGACGTTAACACCAACCCACCCACACACACACACATACACACAATCAAGCAAAAGAATCATTAGCATTATATATTTTTTTATTTTTTTATTTTTTTGGTTTTTTATTATCAGTATATATATAAGAGGTAAAAGATAGAGCCGGATAGTCTTCTTACCTTCGTGTTATTGTGAGACTTTTACAGGATTGAGGCCCAGCTCTGATGATGGACGAAAGCTCAGCCCACTTTAACCGAAAGAGAGAGAGGATGTCTTGTGTACCACACCAACTTTACGGTCGCAGTAAAGCCAGGAGGCTTCAGAACAACGTGAATCAGCCGTCGTCTTCTGGCGAGATCGACCTTTGAATCTCTTCTTTATGCTCCTTTACAGCAAATGAAAGTCTGCGAAGAAAAGTTGGGTTTCCAGGAATCTCTTGTTTCATAATTCCATTTCGAGTGGAAGTGTTGCGTGAAGAGATTCGAAGGTCGGTTCCACCAGAAGACGATGGCCGATTCCTCTTGACCAGCTGTCGATTGGCTTTACTGGAACATTCATGCTGACTCTGTTTCCGAGGCAATCTCCTTCGATTCCAGTGAAAAGGTACTAAGCTTTCGTCTGTCATATGACGAATATCATCACAAGAAGGTATCATCATCACAACAAAATTCAAGGTAACGAGTATACCACTTTTTGGGACTAACCGGTGAGTTTTCTTGACTCGTAAGCTTGAATTTTGTTGTGACGATGATACCTTGCTTTGATGATATTCGTCATATGACGGACGAAATCTTAGCAACTTTTCACCGGAATCGAAGGAGATATCTTCGAAAAAAGCGTCAGCATGAATGTTCCAGTAAAGCTAATCGACAGCTGGTCAAGAGGAATGCGCCGTTGTCTTCTGGTGGAACCGACCTTCGAATCTCTTCACCCGACACTTTCACTCGAAATGGGAGTAAGCTCAACAAATGAAAGTCTGCCCAACAATGTTCTATTAAGAGATTCTTCGAAACCCATTTATTCTTCGTATTTTATTTGAGGCTTTTGAATATGTTTTTTTCCGAATGTAAGCGGACAAGTTGAGCATCAGGCAATCTCTTGGCTCACAATAGTTGAACGGTCTCGAGTGAGTGTGTATAATGTGGAGTTTAGAAAATTGATAACATCAGAAGATGACGACACATTTCTCCTGGTCAGCGCTATCGAAACATTTAGGTTAAAGCTGTACTACAATTA